GTATCAGATATTTAGGGTACGATCTCTTTTATTGATGTGTCCTTACCGCCAGGTACTCTTGGACTAACTCCTCCTCCACTTTCTTCTTCTTTTTCTTCTTTGCTGCAAAACGTTTTTCGAGGCGCCTCAGATTGTCTGCATACGGTGACGTTTCCTTGTCTCTGATCACGTAATGTAACGCGATTTTTTTCAAGTTCTCAGGTACCCTCAATTCTTGCTCGCTGGCAATTGGACGAGTTGGCTGTATTTGGTTTGGTATGGGAAACCTTTTCTGCTCGATGAAATTTCCGTACACTCGAAGGATCTTAATGCCTTTGATTCTCATCAAATACTCTGCAAATATTAAAACAGCCTCATAAAAACCGAGGGAAAAGAAGAAATAACTAAAAAAGTTAAGGCGTTTTTGCTAATCAAACAGGTTAATTTTGCAAATACATAATTTGTCTCGTATTTACACACCGGTCAAACAGATAAATGTCTGTAAATATAAATTGAAAACTTAATAGTTATAAAGTAGAAAAATGTTAGTGTCATCTTGTGAAAAATCATAAATGTTTCAGGCGTAGCTCTTCTTCAGTGTGATATCTTGGGTTGTGACGTAAGCCTAGGCAATAAAACCGAAAGAAGTCTGAAACGTTACTATGCCTTAATTCATCGCTACAACACCTTTATTTTTCAACATATTATTTTTACACCACACCTGCGACGACATCCACAGATTTGTTTGAAGGCCCACAGTACAAAACTTGTGGGGGAGCTTTCTCGGGTATTTCTTCGGCTGGGGTAGTTCGGTCAGGTGGAGTATTCCGTCTGTTCATTTCAGCAAACCAGTAGGCGATGTGAACTCCAGTGATCGTTTTCCCAGTTCCTGAAGGAGGTACATATAAATACATATATATACATTCACCGATGTTTTTTCGCCGTCAACGATATTGTTAAGCATAACTGAGAAAATTACTTCATCATGATTGGCTGAGAGCAGGACAATTTATCATTAATTTTTAATTTGCACTGCCGCACTGATCTCAGTCATAATAAATGAGTTATGGTACGAAAGCTCATGCAATTAAGGATTAACACTGCTCGTGATATTTTAAAATCTTTTCAAATTGCACTCGCAATTTGAAGCCATCTTTTCAAATTGCACTCGCTTAAAGGCTTCCGCAATTTTAAGAGAATTTTCAAAAATCACTCGTGTAAATCCTTAATTGCGATTAGCTATAATGGTCTGACACAGGAACCTACCGGGTGGTCCTTGAATGAGAGTAAAGCGTCCTCGAAGGGATCTTTTGACAGCCGTCTCTTGGTTAGTGTTCAGTCTTTGTAGGTAACATTCATCGACATGAGCAGCAACTGAGAGGTTGTCAGCCGGTAAACGAATATGAAGACCTGAAATTAAAAATGGATATGTTTTCCTGATCATAAAAGAACAGAGAATGTGTTCTGGCAGAGAAGCGACCACCAAATACGAGGCACTTTAACTTTATAGCAAAGCGTAAAATTCAAAGACTTGCTTGCTTCAGCTGCCTTGAAAATGAATATCGAGGTTGACATAAAAAAAATTAAAATAAATTTTGAAGAAGAAAGAACAAGGAGACCACGTTGGAGAACAGTGTACCGTACACCTGTAATTGCAGGTTTCCAACATTTTTATTTGTTTTGTTTGTCTGCTTTATTTATTTATTTTTTTTTGGTGCCATTTATAACAAATATCAATCTATTAGGAATAGAAGCCTAGGGTGAATAATAAGGCTTATGTAAAGGACTACCTTAATGTTAAGATACATAAGACAATCAAATTGTTTAGCTTTCATTTCGTTTGATGGTTTCTTTATTCCCCTTACAAATCATTTGCATTTCCTAAGGTTCCGTCCTGCTTTTACTGCGTCGAATTTGATCAAAAAAAGCTTCTCCATCAAACTTCCAACACTGCACTTACTTTATTGGCAACAACAACAACTAGCTTTATTTGCATGACCATAAATATGTACAGTGTTGCAAAA